ACAATAAAAATAAAAAATTAGCCGGGTGTGGTAGCATGCACCTGTAGTTCCGGATGCTTGGAGGGCTGAGGCTGAAGGATTGCCGGAGCCTAGCAGGTGGAGGCTGTGGTGGCCGGGAGCGTGTCACTGCCCTCCAGTCTGGATGACAGAGTGAGACTCCAACTTAAAAATAAATAAATATATATAGTGTTCAACCCACCTAATAAGCAGCTGTAATCTTGTGTGCATACATTGACATGTGAACAGGTAGGACCAAAATGGGTGACATTTTTCAACAAAATGATTTACTCCTTATCAGTTCCAGATTTTTTTAAGCCAGCATTTTCTTATCTCACTTCATACTGGAAATTATGTCTGTTATCTCGCGCCTTGCACCAGAGCTCATTGCTCTCTCCTATTAAACTTGTTTACCCACACTCCAGCAAATAGCACATTGGAACTACCGTGACTGAGTTCAACAGACATAGTTATGAAAACAGAATCCAAATTTATGACTGGTTTATTTCTTTCTTAGCTTTCTTTTGCCCAGTTCCTTCTTTTTGGACTGGTTAGACAGCTTCCTTCCACTCAGAGTTCATTATTTGGAATTTATGTAACATACAACAAATGCAGGTTGAAAGCTTACCCTATGTCAGGTATGGTGGTAGGCATTGGGAGTTCAAAGTCAAAACTCTTGCCCTTAAGTCATAGACTAGAGGAGACAGGATCCTAAACAAATAATGCAATATGAACTAGAGTAGAAGTGTGTACAAAATCTAGAGGACAATATATTTCTACCTGGAGAAATAAGGAGGACTTTCTCTAAAGGAGAGCAAGGCTCTTGCCAAGTGGGGAAAGGAAACAGTGTTCTAAGAAAGTAGAGCAACACTCTGAAAGGATTGGAGAGGAAGGAGCCTGAGAAAAGGCTGGCTTTCATGTTGAGCAAAGCTTAAGCAAGAGGATTGATTTTTAAATCTTTAAGCAAAAAAGTTAATTTGTTGGGGTTTTTTCTTTTTCATTCTCTCATATCTTACTTCTGGAGGGCTTGGTAAGTACCTTTTTTTTTTTGAGTTGGAGTCTCACTCTGTCACCCAGACTGGAGTGCAGTGGCCGCTTCCG